CTGGAAGTTGACTTTGATTTTGACTTGGTCAGGGGTAAAATGGTCATTTTTTTCCCAAAGAGTAGTTATCAGTGTCTGATTAAGTGTTTTATGGACTTATAGCCGGAGAACCACCGGAGCAGCAGTCAGACATCTGCCGATCAGCTTTTCAGCAGTCAGCCTTACGAGGTGAGTTACCTTCCAGTAGGGGTGGGTCTAAGGCCACAATGCCGACCCACCAACAGGGATATTTAGTAGATAATTGTCTATGTGATAATTATTTTGGTTTGGTTATGTGACTTGGTCATGAGATATGCTTGCGTAATATGAACGTTGTGTTAGTGGTAGTGACAGGGAATAGTGTAACACCCCAAATTTCAATTGTTCAATGAAGGGCCAAAAGTGTAAATTTAGGAAAGGGACTCGACGAGTAGGTCCACTTACGCGCCGAGTCGGAGTGGGATTCTATCGCGGTTTAAGTGGCCAACTCGCCGAGTCGGCGGCTTGGACTCGACGAGTTGGTGCCCTATATAAAGCACATTATAACCCACCCTCAGCCTCTTTGCTACCCTTTTGAGATCCAGAAACCCTAGAATCGAGTGAGCTTCCGTTAATAGAGAGAATAGAGCTTTGGAGGAGAAAATCTTGGAAAGGGCTTGAAGATCAAGAGGTTTGCTGCTAAGGAGTGGTGTAGATCCGGGATCTACTTCAGTTGGAGCTCATATTGGAGGTAATAATCTGTTGCTTGGGCTCTTTTGCATCTAGATCTATTATCATTTGAGATTTGGGGCATTTTTGGTATGATTGAGAGCTATTTCGAGTTAGAGGCTTAGATCTGAGGTTGCTACTTCAGATCTAGGCTTGTGATGGTCCAAAATGTCATAAAGCTTATGTCCAAGAGTTGTTGGTAAAGCCCGTTTGTCATGAACCCTAGCCCTAGAGTGTTTTGGGCCTATATCTCCTTGGTTTCACGTAAAGTTTGCAACTTTATGTAAGGGTTAGAATGTAGAAGAGTGGATCTATGGATTGGAGCTCCTGCATGGCTCGAAAAGCCTCTGTATGGATTGAGAACTGGAGAGACTCGACGAGTCACATGGGTGTACTCGATGAGTTGTATGAACATGTGCATGGACTCGGCGAGTTGAAGAACAACTCGGCGAGTCTGTTGAAGATTGCCTTGGACTCGGCGAGTCTGTTCTTGGACTCGACGAGTCAGGTCGCAGAACCCCTAACCTTTTCTGGTTAAGACGCAGATCAGTGAGTCGAGGGGTGACTCAGTGAGTTGGACAGGTTGGGAATCGGAGATCGTTGGACTCGACGAGTCTTGGGGTGACTCGGCGAGTTGAGTCGTGTTCTAAGAGTTTTCAGAGTATAAGGACTCGACGAGTCAACGAGTTGACTCGGCGAGTAGGGTCAGTCAAGGAGTTTGACTTTGGCCTGGACTTTGACTTTGACCTTCAAGGGTGTTATGGTAATTGGTTATTTATGTCAATGGTCCATTGGTGGCAATAGGTGTTGGAGTTTGGAGTGGTGCTTCGGGTGTGTGCTTCCGTGGTTCGGTTCTTCATTTCAGGTGAGTTATCCTCACTGTACTCAAGGGTCTAAGGCACCAAGGCCGACCCTTTGAATTGTTGTTTAGAGCTTGTTATGTTATGTGATGATATGCTTGCTAGTATCCTGGTAGATAGGATAATGATATGAGGATATGCCTTGTTAGCTTAGCATCCTAGAGGAATGGATAGTTAAGTGATAGCTAGTTCTGTTGGATCAGCGCCCTGGTAGTTGGGTGGTGGTTATTTATAGACATGTAGTTGGTCTTGCCTTATGTACGCTGGTAGGAGGTTACCTGCGGGTTATGTATGTTGAGCAGTAGCAGAGGGTATTCCATCCCGGTAGGATGATAGGGCCCTAGTATGTTGGTTCTATAGAGTGTTATGTGGTTGCCTATTATGTGTGCATGTTTGCTAGTGTAGGGGCATTCCAACCCGATGGTTGTGGGCCAGGAGTATTCCATCCAGGTGGGATGATTGGACTCGTAGTAGGTTGGCATTCCAACCCGATGGTTGAGGGGCCGGGGGTATTCCATCTTGAGGGATGATTGGACCCATAGTAGTAGTTATTGTATGTATAGGAAGTGGGGCATTCCAACCCGATGGTTTTGGGCCAGGAGTATTCCATCCCGGTAGGATGATTGGACTCTTAGTATGTTGGCATTCCAACCCGATGGTTGAGGGGCCTGGGGTATTCCATCTTGCGAGATGATTGGACCCATAGTAGTTATTGATGTACGTATAGGTGTATGGGCATTCCAACCCGATGGTTGTGGGCCGAGAGTATTCCATCCAGGTAGGATGATTGGGCTCGTAGTATGTAGGCATTCCAACCCGATGGTTGAGGGCCAGGGGTATTCCAACCGGAAGGTTGATTGGACCCATAGTATGTTGTTCTTTGTTGCATGCGTATGCTTATGTGTGTATGGGTACTTTGGGGGAACTCACTAAGCTTTCGGGCTTACAGTTGCAGTTTATTGTTTCAGGTACTTCAGGAGATCGTGGCAAGGCGAAGGCGTGATCGTACCGCTCCTCATGTTTTATGATTTATGTGATATGGTTCTGGGGAATACTCTGATGTTTAAACTATTTTGAAAACAAGATGTATGAACTTAATGGTTTTTGAATGAAATAAAATGTTTTAATTTGGTTCAATTTTTATGGGTGTTACAAATAGTCTTTCCCTGGCATAGGTCGTTAGGACCAATGGGTAGGTCAGTACCCCGATATGCCTGACTGTATGTTTATATCTTGCTATTGTATGCTAGTGGTAGGGGGTAAAATAGTCCCCAGTTACCGGTTGAAAGATACCGATGGCAGTTACCGGTTGAAAGATACCGATGACAGTTACCGGTTGAAAGATACCGATGGCGGATACCGGTTGAAAGATACCGATGATAGTTACCGATTGAAAGATACCGATGGTAGTTACCGGTTGAAAGATACCGATGATATTATATGGTATGCGGTATGATGGGGGAACTCACTAAGCTTTGTGCTTACAGTTTTTGGTTATGGTTTCAGGTACATCTTCGTCAAGAGGGAAGGAGCCGGCGGTGTAGCAGCGCATCACACACATGATTTCCGCATGGAATTTTCTGGGATTGTACTATGATTTTTATTACTTTCGGTGATATGGTTTTCAGACACGTTATGGTTTTATAATTGATATGACATTGACAATATTTGGTAAAACTATGTTATGAATTGCTTAATTAAAGATGAAAATTTTTGGCCTCGATTTTTGGGATGTTACACGTACGGAGGTCCGGCAGCAACAACAACATGGCGAACAACAGCAACACGGCGGCGATTATGGCGTTAGACACCCGCCCATGACGGTTTGCGACTCCTCTCCCGAAAACACACACGCCGGTGAGTCTTTGCTAGGAAAAACAAACCCAACACCCACATTCATGCGTAAAACCTACAGCCAACCCGAGGCTGCCACACGCCGGTGGGCTTGACGAAGTGAACCAGCCGCAAGGTGGCGCCGGAAACTGCAGTGCTCTTTGGTGTTATCCGGCTTCGTCGACGGCCACAAGGTAGCGTAGCAACGGCGCCGGAATAATGGCAGTGAGGGTGGCGGTTGGGAAGTGAAGGCAGCGATCGATCGTGGTTGGCTTTGGTGGCTGAGCGACTGGATCGGTCACGGGTGGCGGCTTAACATCTTCAGCGAAAGCAGACGACGCCTGTGGTGGAGGCATAAGAGTGGCCACAGCGCCAGAGACGAAAGGGTGTAGATGGCGGCTGGAACCAACGTCCCTAGGGTTAGGGTTTGAAGCGGGAGGGGTGACGGGTTATATACCCTGATCCCCCCAACTTACATCCATAATGACAAGTTTAGCCCATCATTTCCCTTTTTCTTTCAAAGTGAACCCATAAATTACCATTTGGACCCTGCGTCTTAAAACCTTTACAAATTAAGTCCAACTTTTACCAAATAGCCCATCTCTCTACATTTATTTTCAAATGAAGTCCATAATTTACTATTTAGCCCCTTCTTCCATAATTCCTTTCATATTAGGTCCAAATTATATCAAACACCCTCTGTCTTCTAAAAATCTTTACAAATTAAATCCCGAAATTTACACCTTTAACCCCTGACTTTTAAAATTGTAACCTTTGGCTCCCGAAAACCAACACCTTGCTATATAATTATTGATTTTAGGGCTATTATACAATCATTAGTTTATTTATTTATTTACTTAAATAAACGGGGTGTTACAATTTGAATGAGACAAAAACATTTGCTGAATGGATTCTTAAAATTGGTGAAGGTAATATTGGTGGTTTTATTGATGGTGAAACTGAAGTTGAATTTCCAGAAGACGTTATCGTTCGATCTACAGACAAACATATTTATTAAATTGTATCAAACCATTTATCCGTCTTTTGAAAACCATCTTGATGATCCATCATATTTTCAAGATAAAACTATTTTAGTCCCTACAAATGAAGATATCGATGCTATCAATGACTACATGTTAGGATTGATGAAAGATGAAGGGAAAACTTATCCGAGTTCAGATTCTTTATGTGAGACAGAGTTAGACAGATTGTTTGAAGAATCAGTTTACTCTCTGGATGTATCGGATGATTTTAAGGCATATGGAATTCTCAACTATAAAGAGATTATTCAACGATTATAGATATTCAGACATTTCATTTTATTTTTTAAACTTTTCAATATAATCAATAACGCGAAGTCTGTTTCTATTGCTTTATCTTTTTTTTTTTTTAATTATTGTTTTGGTTTTTTATGAGTTTATGTTCCTTGCATTATACGCACCCTGCATTATATGCATGTCATAATTTAGTTATTATTATAAATAAAAAGTAAAAATAAAATTAAAAATTAAATACATCATCTACTCCGTACCGTTCTTTCTAAAATTAAAAACAGAAAAGGTGTCGATGTTTGTTATTTATACTTTATTTGTTGGGGACGTATAAAATCAGGTTGCCTTTACCTTTCTGCCAGCTTACAAAAAGAGGATTAAAAAGAAGGGAAGCCTAAAGCTTTCTTGTCTTTCTTCACTTTTGCGCCACTTTTGTTTTCGTATACCGACCACTTCAAACTTGTTACGTCTCTTGGCTGATACGAAATTCCTCTTTCAGAAACCCACCGACGATCCTCTCAATATGGCAACGACTGGCCCCAACAATCTCAATGCAAAATTGGTAATTTGAACTCCCACCATCTTCATCACTGATTCTTCATTTTGATTTCTCAATTCCGTTTCCACTTGTTCTCGTTTTGTTTCATGTTTCGAGTTGCGATGAATTTTTAGGTTTTGCTAGGAGACATGGGAGCTGGTAAATCCAGTCTCGTTTTACGGTTTGTCAAAGGCCAATTTCTGGAATTCCAGGTACAATTTTCGTTGATTGACTTCCGTTTTTTTGAGTTTCAGTATCTAGGGTTTGAATTTGATCGTTGATTTCATCTGTATGATTGTTGTGGTTAAAGGAATCGACCATCGGTGCAGCGTTCTTTTCGCAAACTTTAGCTGTAAACGACGCGACAGTGAAATTTGAGATTTGGGATACGGCGGGTCAAGAAAGGTATCATAGTTTGGCTCCTATGTACTACAGAGGCGCTGCTGCGGCCATTATTGTCTACGATATCACCAGCATGGTATTTTTTTCATCGCTAGTCTCCATGCATATATATTTCAAGCTGAACTTATAAGAATCGTATTTGTAGATGGTTGGACTTTATGATATTGGACTAGGAGTAGTTATTGCAGAATTTGGGAGCTCATAGGTATAATGTTTCACTTAGTTACTGTTGTAGCTGATAGATGATGTCATTGAGTATTGAGAAGTTTTCAGTAACCCTAATGTCATGGTGTAGATTCAATATTTTCTTGGTATTTTAGTATTACGGAACAATTTAGTGATTAGGATATGACTACTCTGCACATGTCCCATTAGTCATTCTTGGTTGAGATGTGCAACTACACAATGCTTGCTTAAATACTGTAACAGATTCAGTTCTGTTCTCTTTTCAAGTAATTTTAGCTGAATCCATTTGCTATTTATTTGACCTGTTATAGGAATCATTTACACGAGCCAAAAAGTGGGTGCAAGAACTTCAGAAACAAGGTGAGTTGACATCAATCTAAATTGTTTCAGATAACTAGAACTGTAGATTGATGTAAAAAAAAGGGCTACAATCATTCTCAAATCTTAAATAAGATTCTATCCAAATGCAAGAACTAAATTTGATTGTGTGGTTTCCAGGTAATCCTAACATGGTTATGGCACTTGCTGGAAATAAAGCTGATCTGGAAGAAAAGAGGAACGTGACAGCTGAAGTATGTATCAATACCATCTATTATTTTCTAGAATTGAATAAAATTAGCATCATTCAACGTTCAATTCACATAACTGTTGCTTGTTTTTTAACTTGTAGTTTCTTACAAACAAGGCCTTGACCATTATCCATTAGTCAACCTATTTGAATACATTTGGTTCCATTAGTATCAGCTCATCTTTTTTTATCTTAATGATGTCATGTTATTACATTTCATGATTACTTAAATAGTTAGAAGATGTTAAGTTAATAAAAGAATGAAAAAAGACTTCAATTTTCTCCTAGACTAAATTTTATTGATCGACATGCTGACTGTAATTTTTTTTAAAAAAGTAGTAATTTTGTACTTGCTCTTGTAAAGATGAAGGTTGGTGTTTCTAAGCTTTCATGTTGACTTTGAATTTAATCACATGGTCTTCTTTTAGTTGCACTTATGAACAATTATACCTTTCCTATTTGTGTATGATAGTATCAGATGAATAGATATAATATCTTAAAATGTAGTCTGAGTTAATAGATGTCATGTAATAATTCACATTTCAGGAGGCACGTGTGTATGCTGAAGAGAATGGTCTTTTCTTCATGGAGACATCTGCCAAAACTGCCACCAATGTTAACGATATATTTCATGAAATAGGTATGCATTTTTTTTTCTCAGGAAATTTGAATTATTCATTTTTCTTTTCCAATTTATTTTCTTATTATAGCAGTGAAATTTGCTTTGTATTTGGATGACATTTATATAATAAACAAATGAATGAAAGTACATTGCTATTTCTTGCAACAGCTAAGAGACTGCCTAGGGCTCAGTCCACCCAGAATCCAGCTGGGATGGTTCTTGTTGACAGACCAACTCAAGGTGCCCGCGTTGGTGGGGCCACTGCCACATGCTGTTCATAAGTAATGTCTCAAATCTTTTTTTTTTCTTTCTGTTGTGAAGTTTGTTAAGAATGGTAATGAAAGCTCAGATATTCAATTCTTTTTGGTTAGATATTGGCCAATCGGAGGCATTGAAGAACATCAATTGTTGCATTGGATATGTGATGTGTTAAGATTTTTATCAAGGGAGTCATGTATACTTTGTAGCTGTAATTAAGACACTCGACAATAATTCGATGTAGTTGAATCATGTGTGTGTAAATGTGGTGGCTTTTCTTTTGCGTGTTTGAAACTTTTAAATGCTAAGCTGATCATGCAAAGTCATTTGTCTATGGTTACTTTTTGTTAACAAGATAATATTGTGTTGATCTCATTTTGTTGTGTGTGACCTCATTTGATATGGATGAAATGTCAATGAGATGGAAATAGGTAAAATGCACTTGATTGGAATTTTTTGCAACTTTATATGTATATGTAAACTAATTCAATCCAGGATTAGTATGAGCTAACGCCCAAATTTTAGTATAAAAGTAAATTAATACGTGCCACAACCATAACAAAACTATGTAATGGCATAGCTAGGTGTTGATACATCAAACAACAAAAGTCTTCCAAAGATATCATCTTAAAGTGCCAGTGTCATGTACAAGCTAAGCTATTCTATTGTCCTTGCTGTTGATACTTGCGGCTATGAGTCATAGAAGAATCCGTAAACTGTAAAACTAAGTAACATTAAGGTTTTTTTGCATTCAAATACATCACACTATGTACAACAACAGAATCATCATAACATAATAGATACATATTGTAAACAACAGTTAAAGCTCTTAAACAAAGGAGAACTAAAGCCTAATTATGCCCTTATACTATCCCCAAGTGAGCTATCCTCATATCTAGATAGTCACTTTTGAGTTTCATTTGAGAAGTATCCTCATCAGTGGCTATTCTCCATAGCATCTTTACTTGGAAACTATCCTTATCACAAACAATAACTAATACACTCAATTATCTCCCCTCCCCCCCTCCTACTGTAACATCTATTGCATGTACTCGATCTTTCAATGTTTGAATTAATTAAGAATGAAAAACCCGAAACTTAAGAGGGTCACGACGTGAGCGATAGTGTCTCACAACGTAACATTCGACGGAGACGCGTGACCATTTTTTAAGGATCACGACGTGACACATAGGTGTTCATGCCGTGAAATCAGGCTAACCCTAATCCCGTGTTTCCCCCCTATTTAAGTGAAGTGGGAGGCTAGGGTTTGCATACCCTCAACCTCCATCACCTCCTTCCTGCCCAAAACATTCGTAGCCTCCAGTAGTGACCTCAAAGAGCCCATTTGGTAGTTTTTTGGCTATCTGAAGAAGAAGAAGACTCATTGGGTGCATCCTTTTGGCAATTAAGCTCCTACATCATCATCTTGCGGTGCTTTTGGACATTTGCAAGTCATAAAGCTTCTGCCTTTATATCTAATGCATGCTAGATCTGAGATTCATGCTTTACTTTTCATGGATGGGTTGGGTAGCATGCATGAGATCCATAAAGTTAGCAACTTTATGGATCGTTGAGGCATTTCCTTTTAGTATGAGTTTAGATATGAAGTTTGGTGTTGGTTCTAGACTCCAAACATGAGTCTTGATCCCATTATCTTCTTATTGACCTAGTTAGTGTCCAATTCATGCATTAGACATGCATGACTGAAAAGCCATGATTTTTATGGTCTTTAGGGTTGGGGAAGACCCTATGGAAAGTCTCAAGGAGTGACTTAAAGGATTAAGAGCTTAATGCTCAAAGCTGTCCAGAACGGATCTCACGACGTGAGCAATAGCATGTCACGCCGTGAGATGTGGTGCTCGTGACTATTTTGTCCTTTTCCAGTCGCGAGGTGACCTATGGATGGTCACGACATGATTGTTGGCTGAAGTTGACCATGGTTGACTTTCGACAATGGTTAACTTTTTGACCATGGTTGACTTTTTGTTTAAACCAGGGTTTTAAGGATGTAGGCTGATAGGGTATGACTTTACTGCTGTTAGTTCCGATTAGAAAAGGCATAAAAAGAGCAAAAAAAATGTGTCTCAAACGAAAAAACATGTGCCATAACACGCCATGGCACGCCATATCACGCATTGCCACGCACCACACCTAACAACGACGTTATAAGGCTTTTCGTAACTGCGAAGCCATACCTCACGCCATGCACGCCTTGGCGCGTGCCATGGCACGCCTTTTAGAACAACGGTGAGAGCTGTCGTATTTCTAGCTACTATTCGCGAGGTGAGACTTCTCACTACTTATACATGTGTGGTAGTATGTCTGTGACCAACTGGGTCTTTATTGCTGATTGTTGTTTTTTCTGAATTGAATTGTTGATAACTTGGGATTGATAAGAATCCCTAGGATATCTGATAACCCCTGAAACGTGCTGTCAATCGGCAGGGTGTGTTCTTAGTCCACTAGGATTGCTGATAATCCCCAGTGTTGCTAATAACCCATAACTGTTTATTATGCTATGCTGTATGGATATTTTGGGAGGGACTCACTAAGATTTATGCTTACAGTTGTGGATTAAATGTGTTTCAGGTATCTCAGATGATCGCGGGAAGGTGAAGGCGTGACTATACACTCCGACTTGCAGATCTTTTTTTTGATTTCCACATTTTGATACTCTGATTTGGGATGATTGTATTGATACACTTGGGATTTCTTATTTCGGTTTTATGATACTTGGAGGTTTTTGTTAAAATAAAAATGAAAAATTTGTTGAAAATTTTGGGTTGTTACAAATTGGTATTAGAGCCCTGGTTTGAGAGAACCGGATGAATATTCGTTAGATTTCAGACTCAAACTAAGTATCTGAAAGTTTTATAAACCTTTTTACAACAAAAAAATGAATGTCACAGAAGGAACGAAATCAACAAAGTGTACAGTCAGCTGGAGCCCGATGTCGTGATCTCCCAAAATATCCATAACTGTGTTATATGCTGTGTTGTAGTTACTGTTATTGAGCTGATAGAAATACATGCTAGTTGGTAGGCTAAGGATCCCTTAGGAGTTACAAGATAGGGTTTCCTGATTTTGTGATGCCTTATAGCCTAGGAAATTACTCGTGGATGCTCTTCTAGGGTTGAAGCTAAAATTGCTAATTACTTCGTGTAAACTGCAAGGTTGTACATAGTTAGGATTTCATAGTATTAGAATGCTTGGCTTAGCCTTACTTCATGTTCCTTGTTTGGTTGTGGATTTGGGATGGAATCTCTTATTCGATGTCTATTGAGTATGGATTATGTACAATTGGTTTACACAGAGCCATTGGCAAGGTTAGCGGAGACTTCTTCCAGAGTGGATATGTAGCTGAGTAGGGACCTAAGACGTATGTCTTGGGGTTTTAGATATGGCTCTTTGAGCACTTAGATGGTTGTGATTCGGGACCTTGAGAGGGGATCTAAATCAACTACAGATAGGTCTGAAAGGTAGTATGGGCCCATACTACTGAAAGCACATGATCCATATGATATTTAGAAGGAATCTCGAGCGTACCAAAGGGTGGTTTGGACTATTTGCTTGCTAGTGCTTTTAGTCTGGTTTTGACCATTTTCCTTGTGTATTTCAGTATGGTGTATACTCGAGGTTCAGGATCCAGCGGTTCGGAGATACAGAGTATAAGTGATAGTGAGATCCACAGGATTATTGCTGTGGAAGTGGCCGCAGTGGTTAGGGAGGCTATCCCGGAGGTATTTGGGTCTATCAAGACCGTGATGATCGAGATGTTTGATAAGCGCTACATCATGGTTGCCGAGGCTGCTGCTACCGTAGCCATCACAGCTGTCACCGCTGCAAGGTCTTACGGGGGTGATTCAATGTAGTATCGGGAGTTCAATAACACGAAGCTCCCGGAGTTTGATGGAGTCCAGGATCCAGTTACTACTATGAGGTGGATCATTGATGTTGATGGTTGTTTTTATACTTGCTATTGTTTGGATGATTTGAGGTTCGCTTTGCATTGAACCTACTTTCCCTGGGAGAGAAGGACTGGTGGAAATTCGTGACTGCTGATTTATCACCTGCGGAGAAAGCCGCAGTTACTTGGGATCAGTTTGCTGAGATGTTTCGAGAGGAGTATGTTCCTTTGGTGGAGAGGGACCGATTGAGTCAAGAGTACCTTTCGCTCTAGCAGACGATAGATACGGTGACCGAGATCACCCGAATGTTCCATGAGAGAGCTATGTTTTATCCAGAGTATGCATCTACTGAGCAGGCACAGATGACCCGATACTTAAGTATGCTCAAAAAGGAAATTAGAGAGTTCGTGAAGAACTCCCAGTACTGGACATTGGCTGAGCTACAGACCAATGCCAGGAAGAGGGAGATTGAGATCGAGCTGTAGGGGACAGACGCCGAGATAGATACGTAGATGAGAGATAGGAGGCCAATATAGCCACAGCCGACGACTAAGCGGGTTAAGCTTGCTGATTCGAGAGTAGGAGGTCAGAGAAGTCGCACTTGTAGTAAGTGAGGCAAGGGTCACGAGGGTTCCTGTCGATCGGGATCAATATGTTACTTATGTGGCAAGGAAAAACACTTTGCAAAGGAGTGTACGAAGGGTTTGCAGCTTTGTTTCAGCTACAACCAGTCAGGCCATGTGAAGGCCGAATGTCTGCTTCTTACAGTGAAGCCAGTTTAGGCTCATGCAACCTTGTGCATCACATATGGGCGACAAGGGAAGGTTGTAGTTTGAAATGATCGAGTAAATGAAATCAGAGTTTAGACTGAATCATGAACACAAGGAGTAAATATGATCTGGATGGCTCAATTAAAATTCTGAAGGTTACACAGAGTGTTTCTTAGAGTAAGAACAACGAAGGCTCAAAAGTTACTCTATCTCTAGTACTTATCCCTATTTATATGCATTACAAAAGTTTACAAAAAATACATAAGGGCTAAAACTATTAAGCTTCAACATAAAAATGTCCCTATGAAATACATACAACGAAAGCTGACAAACAGACTTCGACACTAAGACAAACTCAAGACACTTCGACACCTCACAACACCATTCAACCTCAACATTCTCCCCCTTTGTGAGCAGTGTCGAGTCCTAGGTCATTAGCATCTTGGTTGCCTGATGAATAACTCTTCAACCTCCATATATCAAATGATTGATCTGCAAAACTCAGCTTTATCTCCTTCAATATTCTTCTTGCAATTATTGATACGAACAGGTAGATTCGTATACTGAGAATTAGTGTATCTTTCAACATCCTCAGCTCTGAATATAAACTTTGTATTCTTGTGGTTTTTATTCTTCCCAACAAAAACTATTCCCAA